TCGGGACGGCGGAGTTGCCAGCCGGGAGCGGGGCATAAAACTGGCCACAGTCTGCCTGCCAAGGGGCGGGAAGGGTGGCGGTGCGCGGGAGATCCTGGCTCACCAGGCCCTTCTCCCAACCCAGGCCCCTGCACCTGGCCATCATCCACGGGCAGACCGCCGTCACTGAGCAGATAGCCCAGATCATCTACCACGCGCAGCACCTCGGGGTCGCCAACCTCACCAACCACCTACACCAGGTGCGGGGGCGCCTCACGGAGCAGGAGCTGGAAGGCAGGTGAAACCGAGCTGGGCTGTGGTGAGCTCACCTCACCTCCCTCCCCAGACGCCCCTGCACCTGGCGGTGATCACCGGACAGACCCGGGTGGTGAGCTTCCTGCTGCAAGTGGGGGCGGACCCGGCTCTCTTGGACCGGCATGGAGACTCCGCTATGCACCTGGCGCTGCGGGCAGGTGTGGGGGCCCCAGATCTACTGCGTGCACTGCTGCAGAGCGGTGCTTCAGCTGTGCCCCAGCTGTTGCACATGCCCGACTTTGAGGGTAAGTGGCCGCCTCCTCACGACCCCGGGGTGGGGACCCCACGGTGGACCTGAGTTGCAGAGGTGGTGGACAGGTCAGGGCTGTGTCCTGCTCCCCCAGGCCTGTACCCAGTGCACCTGGCAGTTCGCGCACGCAGCCCGGAGTGCCTAGACCTGCTGGTGGACAGCGGGGCTGAAGTGGAGGCTGCAGAGCGGCAGGGTGGCCGCACGGCCCTGCATCTAGCTACAGAGATGGAGGAGCTGGGGCTGGTCACCCATCTGGTCACCAAGGTGGGAGAGGATGGTGGAAGGGGTAGGGCCAGGGACTGTAGGGAGCCAGACTGGGATCACCCACTTCCTTCCACCCCCACAGCTCCACGCCAACGTGAATGCCCGAACCTTTGCTGGAAACACACCCCTACACCTGGCAGCTGGACTGGGGTCCCCAACCCTCACTCGCCTCCTCCTAAAGGCTGGTCAGTCTCATCCATACAGGCATTTGGACAGGACAAGGGGTACAGGGGTGCCACCCAGGTGCCCCGCTTTTCAGGCCTTAATGTGGGCCCCTTCCCTCAGGTGCTGACATCCATGCGGAGAACGAGGAGCCCCTGTGTCCACTACCCTCCCCGCCCACCTCCGGGAGTGACTCGGATTCTGAAGGTTCTGAGAGGGACACCATCAGCTTCCGGGGCCACACGCCACTTGACCTCACTCGCAGCACCAAGGTGAGGCCAGCCTGGCCCTGCAAGCCCAAGGCACCTCCTGGGCTTGGGGATGGTATCCAGTGTGTGGGTTTAAGGATAGTCACCTTAAGGACTGGGGGGTTAAGGGTAGTCAGCTTACGGACTGGGGCAGGAGATCATCAAAGCTGCCTCCCCAGGTGAAGACCCTGCTGCTAAATGCTGCTCAGAATTCCATGGAGCCCCCACTCACCCCACCCAGCCCTGCAGGTGAGGCCTCACCAGAATCCCTAACCCGTCCTCACAAAGGTCTCCGTCCTCCTGCCAATGCCCCAGTGGCCTCATCTGTCAGGTCCCCAGGGAGAAAAACAGTAACTAGGTGTTTGGTCTCTGCCCTTTCTAGAGGCAGTTCCCATCTGTGTACCCTCAGGGCCAGGGTTCTCCCTGGGCGAGACCACCCTGCAAAACCTGGAGCAGCTACTAGATGGGCCAGAAGCCCAGGGCAGCTGGGCAGAGCTGGCGGAGCGACTGGGGCTGCGGAGTCTGGTGGACACATACCGGAAGACCCCCTCACCCAGCGGCAGCCTCCTGCGCAGCTACAAGGTGGGGCACAATACCCATGCCCTCCCCTGGCCCCACCGCCTTCGCCACCTCCAAGCCCCATGCTCCTGAGCCCCTCACCCTGACCACCTCTCAGACCCCACCCTGTCCTTCTCTTCAGCTGGCTGGCGGAGACCTGGCAGGTCTGCTGGACGCCCTGTCTGACATGGGTCTGGACGAGGGGGTGAGACTGCTAAGAGGGCCTGAGACCCAAGACAAACTGCCCAGCACAGGTAAACAGGGTTCCCTGGAATGGCCTGGGACAGGGGAAAGGCCTGGGGTAGGAGGCCTGAGGGCTTCACTGCCTTTGCCTTTCTCGGGTCCCCCCAGCTGAAGCAAAGGAAGACAGCGCCTACGGGAGCCAGTCCGTGGAGCAGGAGGCGGAGACTCGGGGCCCACTCCCCGAGCCCCCAGGAGGCCTCTGCCATGGGCACCCCCAGCCTCAGGTGCACTGAGCGGTGCCCCTCACAGCCCTCCTGGACCCTGTACAGCATCCTCGCCTGCTCTAAGTCTTATTTAATAACACCACTGCCCACTTCTCAGCTGGGGCAAATAAAGGATTCTCAGAAAGGGGAGGACCCTCTCCAGTGTGACTCTTGTCCCTGTCCTGGCCCCGAGCCAGCAAGAGAGGAGGAAGAGGACCAGCCAGCAACTCAGAGCAGTTTTAATGGGGTGGAGGCTGTACAGAGGGCAGGGCCCAAGGAGGGAGAGCAGGCCGTGATGCTGGCCTAGGCATGGCACCCTTCGCCACCTCTGGGGACAGAGAGGTGAGCCCTTGGGGAAAAGAAGGGAAAACCAGCTCAGCCCCAAATCCTGGCCTGTCAACCAGGTCCCAGGATGGGGACTGCTGGTGTCAGGGTGGGTAGTCTCAGCAGAAAGCAGAAACGTCATCAGGCCTCCCCCACACCAAAAAAAATACTGCATCAAAATTTCGGGCACTTGCCCCTCCCACCCCCCACCCCCTGTAGGAAAAAGTGCAAACATTATCACAAAAGGGGTCTCCAGGGGCCCTCAGCCTAGGTGCCCAAGGCCGCACCTGCCCTGC